GAATTAGCCTTGAGAGACTGGAAAATAGACATTTTTAATTGATCCATTTTCATTCTGAACAAAACTGAGGTTCTGTTGATGAAAAAGGAGGGAGAAATGGGAAGAGGGTAAGCAAGTAGATATATCTGCTTCAAAGATAATAAATCTTTACAAAAATGTCAAGTTAAGCTAGACTGAATTTCAACTGAAAAAACAATTAGGAAACAGGCACCACTTGTCTATAGCATGAATTTCATAATGTAAGTGATGATATTTTACTTCTGTTGGGGATTTTCCTGCACTAGTGTGGTTCAGTCTAATTTGACACTAAAAATGTAAAAATTACCCCAAAATACAGTAGAAGGGTATCAACTGTCATGTTAGTACCATTTATTTTACCTTTTATTCAGCTTGTGCACTAATCCAGAAAGCTTCTGAACATATGATTAGGCAGAGTGGGCAGCTGCCAGTGTGATGAAACTTGGGAATTATAGGAGAGATCTCCCCCCACAGACATGCCATCTTAGTCATGGTGAGCAGGAGGGCTACTGACGCTTGTAAGTTAAATGTATACTGTCTCCAAAGAGGAGAGTTAATTTCAAGTTAATGTTTTTTGAGATATAAATATCTTGGAGCAAAGGAGTTCATCCATTTAATTATCACAAGAATGAGCATTTAGGATAAACGTGGAAACCAAAGCAGATAAATTCTGGTAAAAGTAAAGTCCACAACAGCATGGAAAAGTGGGACACTTCAGGGGACCCCAGCCCACTTGAAGCAGAGCTAACTGTGCCCAAAGAGAGATTCTCAAAGCAAGTAGAAAGAAACCAAGACACACTCTGCCTGCTTTACACCCTTAAAACTCCTGGAAGAAACATAGGAAGTGAGCTCCCTGACATTAGTCTTGGCAGTCATTTTCTGAAGTTCATACCAAAAGCAGAAATCATCATGTGACAAGCTTCAGCAAAGCAAAGAAGATCAACAAAGTGAAAAGGCAACTTACTGAATGCAGGAGAAAATGTTTGCCAATCATATTGTTGTTGTTGTTCAGTCGTTAAGTTGTGTCTGACTCCTTGTGAACCCATGTACTGTAGCACGCCAGGCTTCTCTGTCCTTCACTATTTCCCAGAGTTTGCTCAAGCTCATGTCCATTGAGTCAGTGATGCCATCCATCCATCTCATCCTCTGTCACCCCCTTCTCTTCCTGCCCCCAATCTTTCCCAGCATCAGGGTCCTTTCCAGTGAGTTGACTCTTCACATCGGGTGGCTGAAGTATTGGAGCTTCAGCTTCAGTCCTTCCAATGAATATACCTGTTAAGAGGCCAATATCCAAAATACATAAAGAATTTATATACCTCAGTAGCAAAAAAACAGTTCAATTAAAAACTAGGAGAAGAGCTGAATAGACATTTTTCCAAAGACGTAAACATGGCCACCAGGTACATGAGAAGATACTCAACATCACTAATCATCAGAAAAATGAAACTTAAAACCATAGTGAGCTATCACCTTACACTTGTTAGAATGGTTATTCAGTTCAGTTCAGTTCAGTCACTCAGTCCTGTCTGACTCTTTGCAATCCCATGAACCTCAGCACACCAGGCCTCCCTGTCCATCACCAACTCCCAAAGTATCGAAAGACAAATGATGGTGAGGATGTGGAGAAGAAGGGAACCTTTGTGCACTAATAGTGTGAATCTAAACTGGTGCAGCCACTATAGAAAACAATGTGGAGTTTCCTCAAGTTAAAAATAGAACTACTATATGATCCAGCAATTCCCACTCCTGAGTATTAGTATCAACTCACTTGAAATACTAATTAGAAAGGATACGTGCACCCCTATGTCCATTGCAGCATTATTTACAATAGCCAAATAGCCAAGACATGGAAACAACCTAAATGCCATCCATGGATGAATAAATTTAAAAAAAAAATTGGGTGTATATACATGTATGGAATTGACTATTATTTAGCCATAAAAAAGAATGGAATTGTTCCATTTGCAGCACCATAGGTGGACCTTGAGGCATTATGCTAAGTGAAATAAGTCAAATAGTAAAAGATAAACACTGTATGGTCCCTTTTATATGTAGAACCAAAAAACAGACAAACAACTGAACTCTGAACAAAGAACAGATTTGTGGTTTCCTCAAGTGAACAGATACCCCAGATCCAAGGTAAGAGAAACCCAAGTAAGACGGTAGGTGCTGAGAGAGGGCATCAGAGGGCAGACAGACTGAAACCACGATCACAGAAAACTAGCCAGTCTGATCACATGGACCACAGCCTTGTCTAACTCAGACGGGTCATGGTGGAGAGGTCTGACAGAATGTGGTCCACTGGAGAAGGGAATGGCAAACCACTTCTGTATTCTTGCCTTGAGAACCCCATGAACACTATGAAAAGGCAAAATGATAGGATACTGAAAAAGGAAATCCCAGGTCGGTAGGTGCCCAATATGCTACTGGAGATCAGTGGAGAAATAACTCCAGAGAGAGTGAAGGGATGGAGCTAAAGCAACAACACCACCCAGCTGTGGATGTGACTGGTGATGGAAGCAAGGTCCGATGCTGTAAGAGCAATATTGCATAGGAACCTGGAATGTTAGATCCATGAGCCAAGGCAAACTGGAAGTGGTCAAACAGGAGATGGAAAGAGTGAACGTTGACATTCTAGGAATCAGCAAACTAAAATGGACTGGAATGGGTGAATTTAACTGAGATGACCATTATATCTACTACTGTGGGCAGGAATCCCTTAGAAGAAATGGAGTAGCCATCATAATCAACAAAAGAGTCCGAAATGCAGTACTTGGATGCAATCTCAAAAACGACAGAATGATCTCTGTTTGTTTCCAAGGCAAACCATTCAATATCACAGTAATCCAAGCCTATGCCCCAACCAGTAACGCTGAAGAAGCTGAAGTTGAATGATTCTATGAAGATCTACAAGACCTTTTAGAACTAACACCCAAAAAAGATGTCCTTTCCATTAGAGGGGACTGGAATGCAAAAGTAGGAAGTCAAGAGATA